CTAGTTGCTTACCCACACCTATTTTTTTATCAATGAAATTTACAGATATCGTCGAAGGAAATAATTCCGCAGTTTTAGAAAGACCACCAATATGAAAGAGCAAATATAACGACTATAAAAATAGAAGGATCATTAATCACTTTATAGAGACGAATGGAGATACTATTCGTACGTAATTAGAGTGCGATTCCAATTCTGGCTTGATATTTGCAAGAATATAGTCAGTCGTTTCCACGGTCACTAGCATTATCATAGAACTTATCCAGATTTCGTCTTTTTTCTTCGTAATTTCGGCTAAAGTCGCCTTTTCGCTTTCATTGTTCATAGTATACGGGTTCACGTCTTCCCGCGCCCATAATAACTCGCAAACCAAGTGATCGGTTCACTGGCATCAAGAACAGGCCATGTTTACCGCGACGCCGCCCATATCGCTATCGCCACCGCACTGCCGCTCGCTGTCGTCCTATTTGTCGCCGTATTGAGTTTCCCTTTTCTCCTTTGATGTTAAAATTAGTATTTGAACCTTGAAAAATACTGTGTCCAGGTTTCACCCGACAACTTCACTACGCACACCCCGGAGGTGGCTTCAGCGCTTTTGGCGGCACAAACAGAACGCCTTCCACGTGGTTGACTGCCTTCTCTGTTCGATACCTTCGGAAAGCACACCAGGTAAACTTTACGTACTTCCACAACATTACACTGGTTAGGTACGATAACCAACGCCTGTAACCAATTTAACCAATGGTGTGTAGGTAGGACTCAAGGACTCTTTATGTTTTCGGACACAACACTACATTGTTACACTAACACCAAAAAACTATTTTGAATATTATATATTATATCCCGTTGCATAGATCTATCAAAATCGACATCGAGAATGTCAATATTTGATATTGGTTTCTTAAAGGCTTATACGATTTCAAGGGCCCTATATCAAGGTTGAGTGAGGCCCCAAGTTAGAACGCCGAATTATTTATGTTACATTTAAATCGCCCTACTATGTTTAAGTTAGAGTAAGGTTTCCTTCAAAATGGCACAGCTACGTGAACGATCGAACGAACGAACGATCTTTGTGATTTAAAGCTCTGAGTGACACTGCAACTTTATTTAGTAACAATTTTTGTTACTAAATAAAGTTGTAGTGAACAATTATTGGAATGGAAATTAATAAAAGAGATAATATACGTGTGGCGCACTATAAGTTTCCGGAATGAATAAGAAGAAATTACTATAAATGGTCAGAAATGAATTTATTTTTTGTCAAAATGTTCTCCGTCAGCGTTAACGCACTTTTTCATACGAATGAACCAATTTTGAAAACATTTATGCCACTCCTCCATGACAATCTCTGAAACATATCTTCCATAGTCTTCGACAACCTCTTTAGGTGATGAAAATCGTTGATCGCGTAACTGGATCTTAATTTTTGGAAATAAATAAAAGTGACAAGGAGGCAGGTCGGGAGTGTACGCGGGATGGCTCATAAGGTCAACGTTATTCACCTTCAAAAATTCATTTGTCTGTTTACATTTATTTTTACTGAGTTTGTCAATAACTTCTGGCAAACAAATGGTCGTGTACCAATCACTATTCACGGTACAACGATTATCCAAAGCAACAATATCCACGTGTCCAGTTTTAATAAAAAAAGAAGCAATCATCCGCTTAGAGGCACTTTGCAAGCGCACCACTTTGGTTGGTTTCGGCTTATCTCGAAAGACCCATACGCTCGATTGCTGCTTTGTTTTGGGATCATAACTACAAGTCCATGTTTCTATGGATTTATAGACACTATGTCCCACACCAAATTTGAGGCCCCTTCGTTGAATCTGGTAAGCATGACATTGCACCAAGTGACGCTATTCGCTTTTTGAGCCTCAGTCAAATTTTGTGGGATCCACCGAGAGCACAGCTTTTTCACACCCAAATGTTTGTGTAGTATTGATTGTATTTGACTCATGCCTACGCGAAAAGATGCCCGTGCATGGTATGTCACATGCCTGTCTGTTTTGATCGTACGGCGCACAGCATCGATGTTTTTATTGTTCACAGCAGTGGGCGGGCGACCATTACGAAATTCGTCACTGAGATTCACACGACCGCATTTGAATTCTGCAAACCAACTATAAATAGTCGTCTTGCATAGTGCTTCATCGCCAAGAGCTGTTAAATTACACTTAAAGTCGAAGAAAATCATACTACGAAAATTTTCACGAGTTATATCCATGGTGATGTAGACAACCAATTTCTAAAATGACGCCACAATGTAAAAACAAGAGACAGTCAGATGAAACAAACTGCATTCTACAGCCAAAGAGTTCCATTTTCAAATGTTGTCATTACTTTTTAAATATTGTTTATGTAAGTGGCCAGTTCCGGAAACTTATAGTGCGCTCTATGTACACGACAAGAGGCGCCGCTTCGTTTTGTTTTCTTGCGCGTCGCTGCATCAATTCAAGACGACCCGTACCCGTTTAAATCATCGATAACTAAGATTTCTTTAATCCAGGTCCTGACCCCAGGTCTACCAGCACCCCCAGCTCTGGACCGAGCAGAGAAATGGCTTCTAAATCAGCAAATGGAAAATGGATGCTTCAGGAATGAGGGTCAAGTCTTTCACAGAGAATTAAAGGTAATTTGGAGTTTCCAATTATATGTTTTATGATATAGATATAATTACAGAATGGCATTTAAAACAAACCGACTGCTCGTTCACTACGCTGACCTCCCTGAGATGAACGAGCAAGTAACTCCAGGGATTGCTCTTTTCAAATAAACTTAAATGCTATAGAATACATTTTGGATCATATTTGTGTGTGATCTAGACTTTCCATACACCTTTATCTAACACGTAATCTACCATTTTCTAATACTTTTAATGTAAGTTTTAAACTTAGGAAATGGTAATCTTAACATATACAGTTCCCCATAAAATAATCTACCTTAGTTAAACAAAATCGTGGTGTCATGAGTTTGGATTTAGTTCTAAGGATAATATTATAAAGAAAGAAGATATTCTTTCTTAATGAAATTATGTATATTTTTACGGGCATACAAAATATTTGAGTAAATGTACTATGATGCCACAGTCATGACGCCATAAACTTTTCTCTAAGAGAAACCCGAGAACCTAAACGGTACACAGAACGAATCGCTCGTTTTTGCAACACAAATATGGTTTGTATATCTGCCGCTTTACCTCACATAAGAATCCCGTAGGACATTATACTATGAAAGTAACTAAAGTAAACTAGTCTAGCAGCAGCAACATCGGTAAGCTCACGTATTCTACGGACTGCGTATGCAGCGGAGCTTAATCTGCTAGCCAAGGAAGATATATGTGGAAACCATTGAAGTTTACACTGAGGATTTACACTGAGGATTTACACTGATTACTTTTTTTTTTTTTTTTTTTTAACGCACACACTCAACATAGCCCCGCACTAGGGAAACCCTGTGTTGCGAGTGCCATGGACACACACATAGACAACCACAAATTACACCCAAACTCACGAGAGAAATAAATGTAGGTCATACAAATATTTCGCCCGGCCCGGGAATCGAACCTGGGACCTCTGCGTGGCAGTCCGGCATGGTAACCGTTCGGCCACGGAGGCAGTTTACTATCTAAGATCACAAAAAGACAGCTTTATTAACAAAATCTAACTTTTCTCCATTTATTTCTGTGATTGAGCTAGTCGATTTTACATTAGGTAATTCAAATTTAACACACTCCGTCTTTTTGAATCTCCGAAACTGTATACCTAGTGTATGAAGGGAACTTAATTTTTTTATGGAAATTGTTGTATTCAGGCGTAACGCGTTCCCAACTAATGGTGGACGATACGATTTAATCAAACGCCAACATATCAGGGCGCACGCGGGCTATATCCAATAATATATAGTTTCGAAATCTGATACGATTCAGAAAAAGCTATATTACCCATACCTAATATTTATTACATAATTACTTTATAGACACCCAGGTAATGATGTTTGAATTCAAGATATCGTATTAGGTCCATCTGGTGACCTACGTCAATATCATCTGCTAATCTCCATACCACATTTTTGAAAATGGCGCTGATAAATAACCTGAAAGTAGTTTGCTTTTTAAAGTAAGCACATAAGCACGCTTTTCAATTTAAGCGTAAGCGTTGGTCAGTTCAATATTCAACAATTTGCTTTTTTACAACGTGCTTGTTTCAAGTCCCGCCATCAATGTTTCCTAAACAAATTAATTCGTCAATGTGAATAATAATTATATAAATAAAAATAAAACTCCTGTTATACAAATAGCCTTACTTACCTTAAAACCTTTAGTGGTCTACTCTTGCTTTTCGCTATCAAAGCTTTTTTAACATAAAAGTCTAAACTCTTAAACGTTTTTCTAAACGGTTTTGTAAGCTTCAAACGAAGGGTCGTATTCCAGAACTGTACTCAATGCTCAAGTCAGGATTTGAGCAGACTTGAGTATGATTTCAAGCACTGGAAATACTACCCTAATGGCAAGGACTTGAGTATGATTTCTAGTGCTTTGAATCATACTCAAGTCCTGACTTGAGCATTGAGTAGAGTTCTAGAATACGACCCAAAAAAGCGTTTAAGTGAAAAGCGTTTAGAAAAGCACGCTCTTTTTAAAAAAGCACAACATTTTAACGTTTAAATAAATAAGCAGTTTTTCCCATCTCTAGAGCTGGCAGTATAAATATCAATGCAATAAGCGCCATCTAGTTGATTTGTTTGTTATCACTAGAAATTAGAGTAGCTTTGATAAGTTGCAGTTCGTCAATGTAAAACAAATTCACTTTTATATTATACAAAAATAGCTACTTGGTGCTCGTTGCGACATCTAGTGTACCGATAAGTACTAATTACCCGACTACGTGTCTTGTATCATGATTAGCAGGTCCGTGGTCAATACGTAACCGGGAGACAGGGAAATAAATGTACTTAATTAAAAGAGAGACCTGTTTTTTTTGCCACAGGGAGGTCTCAGCGAGGATGGTGATATAGCCAACGTGGCTCTAACAGCATACGTCATCACCTCGCTTCTAGACACGTCAATATTACCAGCGCGCCTCCTTCGGAACGCGTTGACCTGTCTTCGAGCTCTGCCGTTGAAGTCGAAGGCACCTAACAAAATCTACGCGTTGAGTTTACTGGTTTATGCTTTTGTCAAGTTGAGAAAGTAAGTATAGGTAGATAATAAAGATGTCGCGATTACCACATTATTTTTTCGTCATCTAAAACGCGTGTTTTTGTTTTTGCCAAAAAATTTTGGGCTCTTTACAGTTCACACGGCCATGACTGACAGAGATGGTGTTAGTCATCAACTAGCATCGAGTATATAACCAAAAATAGAGACGAAATAATGGCCATACATTCCTGGTAACTTATCAGTGATACATCACTTATAAATATCAAATCTCGTTTACACTGAAAAACACGACAGCGTCAACAATTGACCTGTGTGTACGTCTCCGTATATTCCATAAATATTATGTATTTATTGTAATAAAGATAATATCTCTAACAATGGGGGCTTGTCTATTCAGTGGTGTGGGAAAAACAGCAAAACACCAAATTATAAAACAAACGGAATCAGTTTTCATTGGTAATTAAATATTTAATACTGTGTAATGTAATTTTGCAATTGTCATCCATTATAGCAAAGTTAAGTGGTCGAGATTTGAGGTGAAACAATTGACGACACCCATTGACGACACACGTCAATTGTTTCGAACTCGGGCTGGCCAATCGGAGCGCAGTTGTCACAGTAATGATATGGCAGAATAGTTTTCAAACAAATTCAATGACATTTCGTCTCTATTTCTGGTTATATACTCGATGTCAACTAGTTATCACTCCATTCTGAAATATAGTTAAAAAAACTGTTAATTTAACCACCTTATATTAAACAATTATTTGATGACTAAATACTATATCTAAAAGGCGTGCTAGCAGCCTATTTGCTTGGCCTACCGTCTCTCAAGCAACTTGTCAACTTATGTCTCAGGGTGTCTGGCGCAGTGGCAGTGCCCCTCAGATCTTTGCGATTTAAAGCTCTCAGTGGCACTGTAACTGTTATGGGCAAGCATGTCGCTCTCCACCAAAATTAAATTTCGCACATAAATTCCGAAAACCTTGATGTTGCGAGCTGGGATTCGAACCCACGGCCTCTGCTTCAGAGACGGTTGGTCAAACCATTTCACATTCACATGGACGTTTTATGACATAAGGTACGAAGAAGAAATAAGAAGAGCAAATGATGCAAGCTTGCAAGATACTATAGGTGGTCTCCAGCAAGACGAGGAAATCAGAGAGCTGGTGGACCTGCTACAATTGGCCAAGCGGAAAGGTGACCTGGTGTGGTGGGAAACTGGTGAGAGAATGTTACTGGATACTTTTATATCTCGATGATACATTTAATCCTCAAGTGTACAAGTTGATAAGGACCAAACCTTTTTATAAGTTAGACAATAAGACATCATATTCTCTGATCCCTAAGTAAACTAAAACACTTGTAAGTTTATTGTAGATCTATGACATTTACGAAAACCTTTCATAAATTTCTCACAGATGGCGCTACAACAAAATGTCGTTAAAAACCTAAAACAAAGATCTGCAACAAGCACATAGAAAAATTCGTAACGTCTGCTGATTTGTTGCGTAGCTCAGTTGGAAGAGAGACAGTCATAGTATGCTGAAGGCACTGGGTTCGAATCCAGTCGGATTGAAGGAATTTTTCTTAGTGTTTGAATAGTCCACTTGCAAACAGCGCTATGTAACATTTTTAATGATTTTTAGTTAATGGCGTGAAATGGATCAGTATTTTAAATAATACAGTATTTCAAATACTTCAACAATACAGTGCCAAAACTTGGTATATTCTGAACAAATCAGTGTCAAATGTTGACTACTCTTGGAAAAGTCACTATCTTCCTTAGATTTTTTTTTTATTAATTTATTTCTGGCCATGGAAACAAAGTTCTTCAGCCGAAAACATAAAAATAAGTTTTTCTGTAAATATGGCCGCCACAAAGAGGATAGGCAATTTGAGGCGGCGTGCTTGGATTGACTCGGAATTCCTTAGAACGGGCCGATACGGGTATTTTAGTTCGAGATTCGTATAATTTCGCGTTTTAATCTTCGATTAAGGGACAATAGCACTATCCTATTCCACTTTAAACTAGATTTCACAAAATAATTGAAAGTCAAAATAAAAACGACACTTTTCCCTCCAAAAGGTCCAGAGCGAATCGTCTTCCTTAGACACTTTCAAAAGTTGCCATTTTGTCGTCAACCTGCAAACGCTGCTCTATTGAGTAGGTACACACTCGTGCAAAATGCGTTATTTTGTTTGATATTTCATATTTTATTATCCAAGAGGTCCCTCTTGTTCATTTATTAAAAACTTGATCGTCAAACATTTCGGAGGTTGGTTTACATACGAAATTCTTGAATTGTATACTCATATTGGGCAAGTACAATCAAATGTGACCGAAGAAGAAGAAATGACAGATAAAAAAGATATATTTATGGTTGATGACGTGGTGGATGAGTCCAAAAAAAATTCTAATTAGTTTTTTATTTATTATTATAATAAATAACAAAACTAACCATGTTATCATTGTGTTGTTGCAAAAGTAGGTACGAGAACAATTACAAAACTAGTTATTTTAAGGTTACAGCTGCAAAACTCTCTATGTTAAATTTTTAAATAGAAATAAAGTAAAAAGTCATTTCATATTGTTTATCTCTTTTTTATCACAATTTTCAGATAATGAAAAAAGTACCATTTAAAAACCCGTTTTCGGAACAATAATTGTTTTTTTTTTAGTTTATTGCCTTTCTTTATCCGTGCACATAACGTAGTTTGCTAGTGAACTACTCGTTTGATCTTTGCATTAATAACTAAAGCACTTATTTATTACGAAGGCAGTTACTTTTATGTTGACTCATTAGATCACTAGTTTATAATTTTATTATTTGTGTTTACCATCATAGAGCATGTGACTATTGTATTTTTTTTTTATTAATGTCGTTCCTCATTCGCGACAGGCTAAGACGAATTGGCCATAATCTTATATTGTAATTAATAATTTTAATTTACCGACATTTTTTCGCGGGAAAGCGTTATATATTTACGGTGGCCATTTTGAATTCTTATGTCATAACATTGTATTTAAAAAAAAAACAAAATAATGTTGCTATGGCAAAAAACATCGTGTTATGATAATTTCAGAATACGAACTGATGATTAAAATTAAATGAGGAGAATAATTAGCCCACAGCACACTGAAAGTAAATTTATTAATACAAGTATACAATACAGGCTAAAATCATTAGTTTCACAGTTTGTAAAGTCACATGAGCAAACTGTGGTCCATAGACATTTGTATACAAAGTTAGTATTAATGAATAAATGTAGCGAACAAACCGAATTTATTTCCTTCTCAGGCAGTCTGACAACGTCGATAGAAGCCACTAGCTACGCGCTGCTGGCCCTGGCCGGCTGCCCTGCGGCACTCCGCTCGAGCTGCGCGCGCGACGCCCGCGCGGCCGTGCGCTGGCTCTCCGCGCACAGGAGCCCCGCGGGCGGGTTCGTGGCCACGCAGGTGACGGCCGTTCCACGTCGATGTCACCGCGGAACCGGAACCGCGGATGTAACATAACGACAAATAGAGAGAAGTCTGGTCGAATCAAATTTCGACAGTATTGGCTGGTTTGCATTAGTCCAGCTGGATCCAACGTCCACTACGGCGTCTAGTATTCGCACTGGATTCATATAAATGCGATTAGAGATAGGCGTTTCAACGAAAAGCACTTTAAAAAGCTCGCTTTTTAATATAAGCACACAAGCACGCTTATAATTTTAAATTCTAAGTTTTGCCCAATTCAAAACTCCATAATTTCATTTTTTTACAATGTGCCCAAGTATCAAGTCCCGCCATCTATGTTTCAAAGTGAATAATAATGTTAGAAATAAAAATAAAACTCGTGTTTTACAAATAAACTTACTTATCTGAAAACCTTTAGTGGCCTACACTCACTTTTCGCTGTCAAACAATGATCGTAATATATACGTAAGCTATCAAGATAATATTGCAAACTTTTATAACATAAAATCTTAAAAGGGTTTCTCTTTGTAATATACGTATAGGTACACATGAAAAGTGTCCAGGATCAAGCTGAAGCCGATAGCTTATGCAAACTTAACTAATACTGGAATATAATTTAAAACACGTGACTTCTCGTAAGCTTTTATATTCAAAAAATAACACCACAATGACTTCATTCAAATTAATTATTTAGCAACATATCATAGAAATTGTTAACAAATTGCATGTTCCAATTTTATCTTCACTCAACGACCTAACCAATCAATCGCTCTAACTTTCACCTAAACCTGCCTTACATCCCCTTTTCGCTCCATTTAATTAAATTATTATAAATAAATCCAATTAATTGAAAACTAGAGTTACGAGTTGCTAGCTTATGAATAAAACACTTCTTAAATAATAACATTAATTATATGGAACAGTGAACTATGTATATATAAAACAAGCACGTTTCAAAATCAGGTTTTTAATTATTTTTTTTAACACCAATGATTTTTGGTCAATTTAAAAAACTATAAATTTATATTGATATTTTTATTTAACTATAATAGGGCAATTAAATACTTAAAACCTAAAAAATTAAAGTAGTTTGATCCCTAGACACTTTTGATGTGTGTATGCAAAAGGAACTGGGGTGTGGCAATCCCACATTGCAACATGTGGGATCTGTTGCCAGTGTCCTTGAGTTTTATAGCTGATCCAGCTGTAATACCCCTTGCAACAAAAGCAACTTAGCCAAATGAACTCGCAAGTATTTTCACTTTCCATTTCGAAGTCGTCCTTTAAAGGAATGAATAGAAAATATCTACTTTTACAGGATACCTTAGTAGCTTTGGAGGCCTTAACAACCTGGTCATCTGTACACCCAAGTACGCCGACCAACCTCAACGTAACCATACACGGTAGTGCTCTGAAGACGGTATATCTCAAGGCTGAAGATACCGTTCCGGGTGTTGTCTACATGAACGGAAATAAGGTGTCTGTTTATGTGGAAGGTGCGTATGCTATAGGGTTTAGGAAATGAAACTATTTTTCCGGATTTAAATCGCGTATATTTGTTTTTTCAAACAAACCGACGTCACGGTTGACTGAGGTGGTACAGTCTTCAACCAGTTATGTCTAATATTAATGCAAACCACCCTATTTTTTCACTATAGTTACAATAGTTATTAATTAAATACCTTATTTTTAATTTTACAAAGAAAACATTCCAATTTACGCTACATTAAGTGTTACAAATTATTTTATTGAATGAATTTTTATTAAGTTTAATTTAATATTAATTATTAATACAAATTAGAATAAACTAAAACATATTAATTAGTACTGCGGAAAAGTAGTTTCATTTCCTTTTTGTAACAATCGCGAAAACCTAAGAACTCGATATGCTATAGGATTGTTTAAAGTTTTTTTTATGATGTCATTTTTAGTACCAGTAGAGGTACTTGTGAAAGAGTTTGTCCAAAGAAGTACTACGACCTTACCTATTTCTGTCGCCAAGCACTAATGAGAGCATTACTGCTTTCCGGTTTAGAAGACTATAGGAACCTAGAAAATTCGGAGCCTCTTCGGAAGTCGCTTGTGCGCTTGTCCAATTCGAATCCAAAAAAATACGAATATCGCTTGTACACCTAGAGATAAAATGACATTTCGGACGTATACAAACGCTCTAAGGGTGCTGGTGAAATTATAGGCACATGGAAGTTGTCACAGGGTGACGGGCGCACTGGCAGTACCTCTCAATTCTTTGTGATTAAAAACTTTGAATGGCACTGCAACTGTTATAGATGTGCGTGTCGCTTACCACAAGTCGTGCGCCTGTCGGTAAGTGACAAACTTGTGGAGTAATTTCACAAAAAATAATAAAATATCAAAATGTCATTAATGGTAGTCAAACATCGTGCTATTAATTAAGTATAGAAAAATCCTAATTCGATTTTGGTACAAAAGAAATTATTACGTTCTTTTCTTCACTAATTTCTATTCCAGGCACTGGCTGCGCACTTGTCCAAGCCACACGTTCCTACAATGCGTACGACGTAGAACATTCTTCGAACAAACTGCTTTCTGTGCAAGTGACAGTGCATACAGATGGTGTTTATAACTGCGATGCGAACAAAACTGGATGCTTTTGTGCAGCTGTTGTTGAGGTAATGTCAAATTGCGATCCGCTGCAATACCGTCATCCAACACACTATTATTACCAATAACTCATAGGCAAACAAAAGAATCAGTGTATCGACAAATACAATAATTTCATGTCTCAAACTGAGGTAATCTTTAAAAATTACACTTTTCTTAACGCATGCACGCATAGCACCGCACTAGGGAAACCCTGTGTCGCGGTTGCCATGGACACACACATAGGCAACCACAAATTACACCCATACTGACTTGTGATATAAATATACGCAGATGTTGCTTTTCGATCAAATGTATTTAGTGAGATTTTTTATGAAATAACTCCACTGCTTTTCTTATGGCTTGATAAGATTATGAATACAAAGATTGAGCACAGAAAAATTTTCGTCAACCCGTTGAGACTTGAATCCACATCGGCGTCAGTTGTGATACCTGTAAAGGTATCGGCTGATTTTTAACAATCCAAAGATTCGTATTAAATAAACAAAATTACATTAAATACAAAATCAACTTTTTGAATGGAATTGAAACATTACAATTATCACCGTGATTTTTTTGGAACCGGAACGACAGTCACGTCGATAGAAATGTAACGCTATTCCCCATGTCTAATCCCTACGTACGCAATATCAGAAAGTCCGGGTAGCAGTTCTCAAGAAGGGACTCAACTCCTGGTTAGCCTAACTGAGCTTTCGGCGTCAATGTAAACAAAATTGTGTTCGAATAGTCACCATTCGAGGAAAAATCCTAACACCGCGATTCAGAAATAACGCCAAATGGGTCGATGCCATCTAGCGGATTCTTAGTTAAACTACAAGTAAACACTGTGGCTTAAGGCCGTCTAATACATAAAGTTGGTTTGTTACAAGAGGAATTAATTAAACTTGATAAATTACAAAATATAAACTACTTCCAGGCTATCGATCAGCGCCATCTAGGTATAAGACGGGTTCTTGACCTTTTTCAGAGTTTTATTATGAAAACTAACACGGTTATCACACATTATAATATAAAAGTAACGGGACTTAGTCGCGTAGTATTTTAGTCGGAAGCGGTCAGACTAGTTTCGACCATAATCGATGGTCAACGGGGGTTGAGTGCAACGTTCGCGACCTCGTCACGTCTAGCACTAGACGCTAGACGCTAGACGAGAGTTTTTCAGAGTTATCATCTGTAGTATGGAGATTAGCAGTCATTTTGAATTGTTTGTCCATGCTTATACTGACACATGATTGTGAAAAGATCATATTGCTTCTGTTTGCTTAGCGGTAATCACAGGATAATACTATTGTAATCGTTACTTACTGCATTTTGTACAGGCATGTGTAAATTGGATCGGCGAATTCCCAGAGATGGCGCTACTAGAAATTTCACTTCCAGGCGGCTTCGGCGCAGACGCAGCCGTTCTGTACGCTCAGCTACAAAACCCTAATACCCGTAAGCCCCATTACATACATTTGACCACCATCTCATCTGATGGAGATCGACAATGAGGTCGACGATAGAGCACGCACACCTAAATAATGCTTATTCATTCTCGTCTTGAATAGGTCAAAGTTATACCGTTCAGGGAACAAGTTTTCACAGCAGTTCGCCATATAAATGTGAGCGAAAGGCTTCGTGAGAATCCTTGGAACAATTATAATAGTAGTAGCAGAAGAGCTCCTTATGAAAGAGTGCGTTCAGGGTAGTACTGCCACCTTACCTGTTTCTGCCGTCAAGCAATAATGTCAGCATTACTGTATTCCGGTTTTCAAGAGTATGGTTGCTGGTAAAAAATTACAGGCACATGGGACTTACGTCTCAGGGTGACGGGCGCAGTGGTAGTGCACCTCAGATTTAAAGCTTTGAGTGGCACTGTAATTGTTATGGACAGGCGTATAGCTTACCATCAGGCGCACGACATGTTCGTCCCATTACTTGATGTTATAAAATATATATAAGTTTATAGCATCTGGCTTCCGAACAGAGATAAACCTTGCCATAAATAACATACTTTCGACTTTCACAGTCGTCCGTCGCATAGAACTGTCATCGAACAGTGGCCGAGCAACTCTCTACCTTGGCTCTCGCGATGGCAGCTCCATGCTCAACCCCGGCGGACATCAATGTTTTAATCTACACGCTGTTGGACCCGCAGCTAAAACTAAACCAAGTTACGTTCGAGTTATGGATTATTATAATCCTGATGTCAACGATACGCAGGTACCTACTTCACTTTTTTCATGATAGTCATAAGATACAGTTTAGTCTAGTTAGCTGCTAGCAGCTGTAAAGGTACCAGCGCCTGCTGGTATATGATTTTAAAACAAATCGGAAGTGATCCGTTCGGGTAGCCCATCCGAGTCTCGAAATCAGATGGGTTTAGGAGAGTAATTTCACAAAAATAACTAAATATCATGGTGATCAAACATCGTGACATTCAATACTCTTAAAAATTAAGACACCATTTGCCAAAATTATGATCCTAAATGTAAGTCATAGTGATGGATATTATTTGCAAACAGTGCCATCTGTAAATTCAATTTACACATCAACAGTTTACCAACAGCCCTGAAAGTTATCGAAACTGCACATGACCACAATGTGGTCAAAGATAAACGTACTTTATACTTTACTCATTTCAAAACTCCTGTGCATTTTCAGATTTATACAATCGCGGAGGAATGTCCACCGCGTATATTACAACAATCCAATACATACCTGTCTTCAGACAATTTATTTCACAAAGCCAAATCGTTAGGCGATAACGATGAAATCTTCATTACAAATGAGTTTCCTTTTGGTAATATTCCCGAAGGAATACCCCTTGACGACCCTTTGTATGATAATCTTCAGAAAACCAATAACCTTGCAAATTTTACTATAAATACTGATGAGGTACATAGAAATTATGACGATATGGAGGAGAAAGGTGACTATTTGGTAAAGGAGGCTGCTAATGAATTGGAAATAAGTGGAATGAGACCAACAAATGAGAAAATTACACTTAATAATGAAGAACAAGTCATCGGAATTATGGCTGAACAAGCAAATCTAGAACCCTTTAAAGAGAGAATTTACGTAGACCAAGTAAGCAAAGTATACCCGTTTGAAGAAGTTAATGTAATGAATGCAAGTCAAGATGACCAAAAAGAAAATATTGATCTGCAAAATTCCAATCAAGAATACCAAAAAAAGCAAGAAATACATTCTTCGCCTTATTTTACATTGAAAAAAAATAAAAATGAAGAGCAGAATAAAGAATATGATAATGAAGATTCAATTAACCGAGCGAATGTCAAAAAAGTAGATTTTAACGATTATATTATATCTGACAAACTAGACTTTGAAAGCAATGAGTTTAATAAAAATTTAAGACAAAATAGACAATACACAACAGAAATTAAACAAAAAATACCAAATACACAAACAAATAAGGTATCAGAAAATGAAATTACAAACATATATCGAGTTCCATCCAAATTACAAATCGGGCACGAAAAATATTTACACTCACAAGAAAGTGGATTAAATCCAGAATATTCTATACCAAAAAAACCAGAACTAAGTCAAGCAACTTTAGATAATCCAGTAATATCACATGAAAATCAACAATTCGCCGACGACGCTAACCAAGGAGCCAAAGATATTGAGAATACAAATTTATCGAATTTCCACATTATAGATTCAGAGAAAGACCTAGATGTACCGGACGGCCTGGAAGGGCCCGTGCCCGCTGTAGCCTTACCTCCTCCTTTCAATGGTAGGGGTTATGTAGCAGTACCTTTTAATGGTAAGTAGATTTAAAACACTGACATTATGTATCCTAGTCATAGTAAAATACAAATTGCCTAGTATTTATGGTCTTCTTAAAAGGTAAAGGAACCTAATGCAATGGTAATGGCAAACTGTACACAAAAAGCTCTTGCAATTTGACAAGCTGTTCAAATGCACTCCAGGTTCCAAGCATTCTCTCAAGGGGTCTGCTATGAACTCATAAAGTAATCCTGCTTAAGCCTGTATGTTGAATTGCGAGTCAAATTCGTATATGAAACCGTTCGCCTCGTCTCTCTTAGTAAAATGCTAAATGATATAATGACGTGCCATTTATCACGCAACTGAAGGTCATAACTGTCAAAATATTTTTAATAATACTATTTATATTTAATTTTATTGACTCTTCTAACTAACCATTAGCCTAAACATGAATTATTAAAAGTATGTACATACATAGTTTTAAATGTAATAAAAAAATTATTAACGTAACTAATACATTATAAAATATAAGTAATAAAAAAAAAGAAATTAGACATTACAAGCTCCACTAATCTAAAGCTGCTATTAACAAATTCTAAAATTATCCTACATAATAAATGTGTCTTTAAAGCTCCTATGCAGTGCTAGAAGTTCTCCTATGAAGTTCGATTGTATGTTTTTTTTTTTTTTGAAAGAGGGTACCCAGAAGTGGTGCCATTTAAATTTGAAGAAAATAATCCACCGCTAAGGGTGGCAAACTATAAATAACTTTTAAGGTCGGTTTTTTTGTAGTTACCGTTTTTTTTTTTCAAATTTTTTTTTTAATTTTAATTTCAAATAATTTTTACGTTTTCAGTTTCATAATTTTTTGTTGCTTGTTTTAGCTGATGGCTCTATAGCCAATGCTTGTCAAATAAATAAATAATAATAAAATTTGGAAAACAGCGAGTTTTTGTCATAGTTTTTACAACATTTCGGTTTTAGTTTAAGTTTTATTGGCTTGATGTATACCGTAAGGTAACTTTTAAATATAGCACTAAATCCGGAAAAATAGTTTCATTTCCTATATAGCGCTAAATTTGAATACACACACACTCACACTACTTAAATATTTATACTGACTTGAACAGCTTAAATATTTTTATGTTATTACATTATGTTTTAGAAATTTCATTTTTACAGGTGTAGGAACATATAGTAGTTTATGACATCCATATACATATATGTACTGGTTTTATTATTTATAAGTACATGTATATTTGTATTTATTTATCGATTTTCCATCTATTTATTAATAATTCTTCACACACCGCCGTCTTTTTCCTGTGAGTTATATAATTACTTCCACCCAAATGTTGTCTGGCAGAAATCGCTTAAAGCGATAAGATCGCCCATTGTACCACCACTTATTTTTAATTTAATTGTATTGTATTTGTTTCTTTTTTTTGATGTACAATGAAGAATTTTTGTATTGCAAATTTGAGTTTAACGCAATATTGAATAAAAATGTGATATGATTATCAAATGCGTACTCCCCACAATTATTTCAATGATAATGAAAGGACCTACCTTCGATCTGATGAATGATAATCGAACCTGAGACTGTATTCGAGTCCTGTTAGATCGAAGAAATTTTTCTTAGAGTTCGATCTTTGTATTAATAATTACATATAATCATCTCTATCAATTTTCAGCGCCACCGTTCGAACTTCCATGGAACTGGCGTGTGCCTTCAATCAACTCACGATCCGTCCGTCAAAGTCGTCTGGTCTTCTCCCAGAATCAAAACAACCGCAGACATCTCGGATACAGAAGATTTAGTTAAACAACGTATATTGGATATGTCGCACCCATCATGGAAGAATGGCATAAGTGGAGTTACATCAAAAACGTTTATTGCTCGATTAGATACAGAAAAATATAACCCACGCCCTAATATTTTGTTTTATTCTCAGGCCAATTAGTCCATATTTGTTAGTAACAATCTTATGAGCTATATAATATTGTAGATAAAGTTTCAAAAATTGGAGAGGATGTGGGTTACATTCATCCAGTATCTAGCCAGAAATAGAGACGAAATAAGGGCCATACAATCCTGGTAACTCATCAGTGACAGGTACATCACTTATAAATATCAACTCTCGTTTGCACTGAAATTACAAATTAGAAAGTTGGAACAGTACAGCACCTACAACTGACCTGTGTGTACGTATTCGTATATTCCAAAAATATTCTGTATTTATTGTAATAAAGATAATATCTTTAATAATGACGTGCTGTTCCATTCGGTGGTGTGGGGAAAAACAGCAAAACATCTAATTACAAAACAAAGGAAATCAAATTTCAGCGGTAATTAAATATCAAATAAGTAATTTTGCAATTTTCGTCCATTATAGCAAAGCTCAAGTTAACTGGTCGATTTGAGGTGAAACTGTATGTGTGGTAAATTGTTTCGAATTCGGGCTGACCAATCGGAGCGCAGTTGTCACACTAATGATATGGCAGAATAGTTTTCAAACAAATAAAATGACATTTCGTCTCTATTTCTGATTATATACTCGATGGTTATATTTTTCTGTATCTAAATGAGCAAAAAACATTTTTGACGTGACTCCGCTTAAGTCATTCTTTCATGAGGGGTGCGATATCTACTTATGTCAGCGTTTCCCATTTGGTGGGTCGCGACCTGGTACCGGGCCATCGAAATAAAATACCAGGTCGCATATTCCCGCCTTGTTTAAGTGGACCCCGACGACAGAATAAAATTTTCGTCATTTTCCGCGAACTTGCATTCTTTGTTAAAAAATAAGCAGCAGCTCTACACGTATCGTCTCGAATACCGAAATTAGTCAAACATTTTTACTAACAATAAATGTGTACTATTTTACTTAATATAACCAGCTTGGGTTTAAAAGTATTGAGTGGGTCCGTGAAAATTACCGGGCCATCGCAGAACAATGTTTGGGAAACGAAAAAAAAAAAGACTTATGTAATTTTAACATTATGCACCGATTCTGCATTAAGGTATTATACAGTCCAAATAGTAGTTCTCCGATTTCCTAGTTGTAAAGAGCTGATAAGAATGAAACCCATAACTTTAGATTGTAACAGAACATAGAACACGGAGCACTACTATGATTTATTGAAAATTGGGCGAGTTAGATACCAACAAATTTTATGTTAACAACGGAACTAGGATTTTATGGTGGTAGCTTTAAGTAGGGCCATACGCTTCGTAAGTAGTTTTCCCTAAAACAAATAGTTAGGTACGACGCTTTCCCATTATGTCGTGGCGAAAGATAGTCGTGTAGTTTAAAGTATCATCAGCTTGTATATTTAAATGAAGTTTTTCACACATAGAACAACGCGATTAACTGTCGTTCACAATTTTTTTGACTGTCGTGACAATGGGAAGAGCTAGAACGACAGTTGTACGACGATAAATAAAACGTCACGATAAAAATGTGACGACAGATAAGGGCTCTTACACATAAACACGATGCGACGTCGTATCGTGGAAATCTAAATTCACGACACGACATCGCAACGCGGCACGACGTCGTGTCGTAGAAACTCACGGTGCGCTCCCCAGTGCCGCATTCATTTGTTATTCAATATTCAAAGATGACTGTTTTCTTCTGATGTTTTGTCCCGGAGTACAAGACGCTCCTCTACTCGGGTTATTAAATAATCAACCATAATGCCGTCTGTCATCTTTAAATATTGAATAACAAATTGATGCGGCACTGGGGATCGCATCGTGAGTTGCTACGATACGACATCGTGCCATGCGTCGTGTCACGATGTCGCGTCGTGTTTATGTGTAAGAGCCCTAATCGCAGCTTCAAACGATTCTGTCGTACAAACGACAAGGCGGCTGACTTGAACCTATAAATTTTCGTCTCGATCTAGTGAAAACAACTAGACACGACAGTTGTTCAAGGATAAAATAAACGTCTACGACACAGTCACCACAGATAGTCGTGAATGGGAACAGGCTAAACGAAACTGTCGTCTAACGATAAATAAAACTTTAAGACATAACGGTTGAGACATAATGCGCCCTGACGGTTATATCAATACCACCTGTCTATTATATCCAGTATTGATTCTGAAGTATTTGTGTATTTTTGCGAGAGTATACCATTGTTCAAGCCAGTGAATTAACAGCTGTTATCGATTCAGGCAAAATCAAATTTAGCCTACTGACTATGTCAATTACCTATAATTCGCATCATGCATCTTTTGATTCGGTAGAGTATTAGGTACTTATTTGTCTGTAATTGTTTCGGAAGGATGTCAGAAGAAGAACGGCAGTAGAGCCCCTGAAAGGCCCGAAATGTTGGTTTGTTTAAAAAACAAATAAACGCGAAAAAAGGTTCAACTTCTAAATCGTTTCATTGTTTTTTAAATAGCATAAGGTCTACTCCCGAGCACTCAAACACGATGTCAAGTATGAAGCTTCATTCGCATCATGCGTTTTTTAATTGGTATTACTTATTTGACAGTAATTTTTCGAATAGCCGGAGAATGGGAGTAAACCCCCAGATTGAGAAGTACATTCGTCTCATAATAAATACTAAGAAATGTGAAAAATATTGCTGGTGTAAGTTTGGACCGTGTGTGGGTCAAATTCACTTCCCGAATTTCAATGGCACTTTTTGAGTGATTTTTGTAAAACCCTCTTTCTTTTGGTTTTAAGGTTTTAAACGTACAAATAAGTTCAAGCAATGTCAATAATTATAAAATCACAGAAATATTTAAGTTGAATACAACAAATAACGATATTTTAGATCACACGAATGAGATTGCAGTGACACGAATGATTTTCTCATAAACGTAATGTACGACACACATTTTATCGTTCACAAAAGAACATTTAACAAAATTTAACATGTAACAAATATTTTAATATAACTTCTTGTATCAAAACCCTTCTCATCCGTGTAAATACATCTATTTACGTATATGTAATTAATAAATAAATCTAAATAAGTATTTTGTTAATGTCACATAAACTTTATAATATATCATCATCACCACCATCAACATCATCATCATCATCACCATTATCATCAGCATCATCACTACAATCATCATCGTCACCATCACCACCGTCATCATCGTCACAACCGTCATCACCACTACTATCACCATCTAATTGTTATATTTCAAGTAAATGTTTGGCTTAAAGTAACTATTTTACTTAAAAGTAGACAAGAATAAGAGCGACAATAATGATATTTGGATACGTTTTTAATTGTTAATTGTTTAATAATAATAATAATAATAACGCTCACACTCAACATAGCCCCGCACTAGGGAGACCCTGTGTCGCGGGTGCTATGGACACACACATAGACAACCACAAATTACACCCAAACTCACGAGAGAAATAAATGTAGGCCATACAAATATTTCTCCCTGCCCGGGAATCGAACCTGGGACCTCTGCGTGACAGTCCGTGCATGGTAACCGTTCGGCTACGGAGGCAGTTAAAATGTTTAATTTGCCGTTATAAAAGTGCATGGATTCTAAAGTTCCCTTTGTCTAATTGATGTACAATAAAGTTTATAAAACTATTACTTAATACTTATTTAGATAGATTGCTTTACATGAATGAGAACGATTTAGTCACTAGCGCTGAAATTGATATTAAAGTCCATTTTTTGCTAAAACGGAGATGCACAGGTTACTTCACTGTGTACACTCCAGTCCGACAGGAGCACCTTCTCACGTGTGCGAAAGGTGAACGTGATGCGGTATGAACTTTTGTTGTTTGTAGGAGGTTTTTAGTTGATTGACACTAATGATAAGAAAAATTGAAACACATTTTGTATTCCTAAGAAAACATGTTTGTTTTTAATAAATTGGAAAGTTACGGTATGTATTCGACGTATAAGTTATTAGAGTTTATCCTCGAAGGGAAATATTGCGATTTCCAGGAGTGTTTAATTTTTTTTCTTCTTTTCTTAAAGTTAGGGCAACGTAAAACCGGCTCCCATGAATGACAAATTGCCCACTTTTTTAATTTTTATTCGTTACTGTGACGTAGTAAAGTAGTCTTTTTATGTGTAACACAGACTAAGCAAGCAAGCAATCATACTAAATAAATAATGCTTAGCATTCATGTAATAACATAAAAGTTATCGAAAGGGACTAATTTTTGGAGGTTATCTCAAAACGACCCGTGTGTAGTGTAAATACGCGAATGTAGCATTGATAAAAGATCGTATCTGAAGTAAACCAACTTTTACAGGAGAGCGATTTAACGTTATTAGTCTGTTACATCAATGGCTACTACTTTCAAATTTGCACAGTAAGCATTAATTTATGTTGCCTACGGACTCATAACAATAGATCCAGTAAATTGGTAGCCGCTACATTTAGGCGGATTTGTTTTTTCCACTAAACTACCGAAATGGAAACTCATAATCCAATACTAGTTACGTGTAATTACTATTTCCGTCGATAGAAATAATAATAACTTATTGCAAATGTCACAATTACATTAATTTAGTATTTAAGAAACTACAATTGGAGAGCGGTCTAGATCAATCGTCATTATAAGTTCAACTAAAATTATAATTTAATTAAAGAACTCCATTAAAAACAAACGATTGACAACCTGGTATTACTACAAAGGCCGCCCTGTTTACGCGTATACATGCATCAAAGACGCTACTCTGGCATAAAGAAATGGCCGCTTTCCGCCGGCAGCATATTGTCAGAAATATTTTGGGTCATGCAGAAAGGCACCCATAGATTTTGACCCCACTCTCTGTTAGAATTGTACCTATCGTCCATTTCTGAAATAATTTGCTTTGTTTATTCTCTTTTCTTTATTAAATACATTTCTTGTTCTTTTTTGTAATAAATACTTATTAACATTGATTTTTTGAAACTGTCTTAGAGCTGTAGCTCTATCTATTATGAAAATTTTACTGTAGCACAGGGCGGGCACGTTAAATTTAGCACTTTCTCTATCTTTTCTTAGTATACGAAAAGTCAAGTTTCGCAATCGCACGGGAATCGACTCTGCCATTACTTGGCAACATCTATTTCCATTGATTGAATCGAAGGAAAAATAGAGATAGTAATAACAATGTTCAGTTCCGTTGAATACTTCAGGTTACCTAAACATGATGCATTACGATAACAAAGATAAAGAACACTCGTCAAGTATGTATGCTGATAATGATTTAGCTATCCGATTAGTTAATAAAAATACACAAATCACGACGTTGTCTTTGGAATCATTTGAAAATTAATGTCGTACATTGACTTACAATTATATGGACGTCGGGTCCGCGCTAAAAAGTGTCCGCACTTGTAAGGCGCTAAAATCGTATACAGAGCGCGACACTCCGCTTTAGTCTTCATTTGTTCTACTGACAGCGCGATACTGCGATGACATTACAATTTAAATTTCGAATAGGTTGACTTGGGACATTTTTTTCGTGGTTTTTGTATTAGACCCGTCGTCCATTTATTTGTAAGTCAATGCGTAAATAAGTTTAATTTTTGGTTGTTGTATTTGGGAGTCGATTTAGAACCTTACGTTAACTCAGTTGTCGACCAATTTTTTTTTCTTTTTTGGACAACACCCGAATCGAACGTCAAACTGTCGTATTCGAAACCGAACCGAAATGACGTCACACCCGTACGATTACTCGAACTTCTCGACCGGCAAAGGCTACAACGTTATTCAGAACATAGTTATCGAATGAAAGGTACCGAATATCCTATTGTTTACAAAGCAGGAATGTAATATGGAAATCTTATTATTTATAATAAAGTCTGGATTTTGTTAATGAAATGTTCAATTTTATTAATTTATTTTAATGCAAGACTAATGCATTCCTATATTTTAGGCCTTTAAAGTCTTAAAAATGTATATAAAAGAATTTTCATTTTTCTTACAATCTATTTCATCGACTAACTTCGTAAACGCTATCGTATACGAATCCGAATCGAACGTTTAATTCGGAACGTTCTGAATATGTCGGAAAGATTCGGTTAAAATGTCGAAGAGTTCTGAATCCGGGTCCTGGTAGAATTTGTATAAGAGTTGCCTTCAAAATAATGCCTTGGCCTTGTCATAATTAATGCATTTGCAAATGCGTTAAATATTTCGGTAACTTTCGAGACATAATAACACCTAAAGCTTATTTTTTTACTAGCAAAAAATGTTAATAACGCTGATTTTGCTTAACAATAAATCTGAAACTACATAAACAAGATGTTAAAATACCGATTAGACGGGGTTGTAGACCTTTCAGATATATGTTAATAACTCAATTTCGCTAAAAATGTCCATTAGGTACGTTAGTTATGTTAAGAAGGGTGAAAAGGTTGTAAACCTTAATGAGCCGTGACCAGATTCATGGCAATAAAATAGG